CGAGTGCGGAAAGAGCTTGTGTTTCAATGCAAAACTTAGAAGACACCAGTGGACTCACACAGAGAGAAAACTCACACAGAGAGTATGGGAAGAATTTCAGTCAGAGTGGAAACCTTAAATTGCACAAACGGACTCACACAGGGGGGAAACCATATGAATGTATGGAGTGTGGAAAGGAATTTAGTAATAGTGGAAACCTTGGAAGACATCAACGGGAACACACAGGGGAGAAACTTTATAAATGTATTGAGTGTGGAAAGAGCTTTAGTGATAATGGAAAACTTAGAAGACATCAATGGACTCACACAGAGGAGAAACCATTTAAATGTATAAAGTGTGGAAACGCCTACAGTCAGAGTGGACACCTGAGAAGACATCAACGTACTCACACAGGGGAGAAACCATTTCAATGTATGGAGTGTGAAAAGAGCTTTATTGATAGTGGAAGCCTTAGCAGACATCAACAAACTCACACAGGGGAGAAACCATTTAAATGTATGGAGTGTGGAAAGGGCTTCAGTCACAGTGGAAGTCTTAGAAGACATCAATGGATTCACACAGAGGAGAAACCATTTAAATGTATGGAGTGTGGAAAGAGCTTTAGTGATAGTGGAAGCCTTAGCAGACATCAACAGACTCACACAGGGATGAAACCTTTTAAATGTATGGAGTGTGGAAAGAGCTTCAGTTATAGTGGAAACCTTAGAAGACATCAACATGCTCACATTGGTAAGAAACAATTTAAATGTATGGAGTGCGGAAAGAGCTTTAGAGATAATGGAAAACTTAGAACTCATCAACGGACTCACACGGAAGAAACCATTTAAAAGTATGGAGTAAATACTAAATGCTTCACTCTGAGTGGAAATCTGAGAAAACATCAGCAGACACACAGGGGAGAAACCATTTAAAGGTATGGACTGTAGAAGAAGCTTCAGTCAGAGTGGAAGCCTTGATTTATGTCAACAAACACACACAAAAGACAACCCATATAAATATCAGGAAATTAGATAGAGGTTCACTCTTAGTGGAAGTTCAAAATCAACAGACTCATGGACAGGAGAAGCAGTTTAAATGAAAAGACTGCAAAAAGTGCTTTATTTATATTGGAGTGATTAAGAAACATCTAGGGACTCTCACATGGGAGAACCCATTTAGATGTATGGAGTGTGGGACGCCTTCCTCTCAGAGTCCTCCCTGAGCAATGAATTCAGCAGGAAATCATTCCTAAATGCATGAGGTATATTTGATGTTCTGGTGTTTATATGTTAAACTGTATAATAATGAAATAATGAAGGCAACATCTCACAATCATGAGTATAATTTTAGATGAAAGTACCTTTGGTTTTTGCACCAAACTCTGTCACCCCCCGCTGCATGATCTCCAAGCACTGCTTCTTCACCAGAACTTCATCGCTGCCTCCTGCCCTGCGCGTTCTGAAGAAAACTTGAAATACTGAAATTGAATGGGAGATTTCCCCCAAGCCTAATTTCAAGAGGGGAAAGGAGGGGCTGCAGGTACCAGGGAAATCTCCTGGGGGGGGTCATCTTCACTCATGAACCCCATGGGGCAACCCCAGAGCCCTGCTTATTCCAGGGTTTGGGAAAGAGTGTATTTTTCCATAGTCCCAGAAGTTTTGCTTTAATCATGCTACTCGGGAGTTTTCCTACCAGAGGACCACAGTGCTGTGGCTGCTGTTGTTATGGACTGGCTGGTGAGGGGGGGGGGAGGCACCAGCTGGGGGACTCACAAGGGAAGAAGGCTCAGAGCCCAGGGACTTGTGGTGCGATGGCAATAAGCCGAAAGAGGGAAAAAGGGGAGCAGACCGGAAGGGGAGATGCAGTATGAGATTCCAAATTCTTTGTATATGTGTGTAATTTAAATCAATAAAGATTATTTTAAAAAATAAATAAATTTGTGGCCGGCCTGATCAATCGTTGCTTCCTCTGGTTAGCCCCGCTGGAACTCCAGTTCATTCCAGACCCTGGGGTCTCCAGAGGACTGGTGGCTCCTCCTGGCAAATGGCCTGGTGCGCGCTGGATCACCAGTCCTTCCTTGCCCCCAGAATCCGGGCAACCGAAGGTCCCATCTGGGGTGCCATCTGTTGTAAACAAAAGCTGCCCTTCTTCCCTTATGGGGGACACAAGAGCCCTTTATAGAGTCCCTTGTAGGTTCTCCATCGGTAGGAGGAAATAACAGAGACATCCAGAGACTATTGAGAAGCAAAGCAGCTAGTAAGCCTGATCTTTATTGATCTGATGCAACAGGGTGCTCCCCTGAGGAGGACCCCGAACCAAGGCGTGCCAGCCCTTATATACACATTTTAAATTCCCTGACCTGGAGCTCCAGACCACCCCTGCATTCATCACAGAAGGGGCGTAACCCAAGACCACCCCCACAAACATCATACATACATCACAGAAAAGGCGGTCTACAACAGAAATTTGAATGTCGTTGCTTTTCCTGTCTGCCAGGTTATCTGATAATGCCTTATCTGATTCCCTTTCCTGGTAGTCTGGCCATTCCTTTGAGATCATGTTTACCCAATTCCTGAGACAATGGGAAGGTTCCCTCACCCGCTCCCTGCTTGCAGAGTAAACATTTGGTCAGTTTGGGAGTCTAAATGGTTTCAGGGCGGTCTTCCTGTGCTGCTCCAGACACGTGGTTGACATATCTATGTATGTGCTTGGTAGGTACATTTATGAACATTTATTATCTATATAAGACATTGTTATGGAAAATCTAGGTGTGAGGCTGCTCTGCCACCTAGCTCGTCTGACTGAGTCTGCAGATCCCTGCGGAACAAAAGGAGCGCAGCCAGAGACCGAAGCATTCATTCAGTTAATATTCTCCTTTCCCTTCCTGCCCCACAACAAACACTCTGTGAGGTGAGTGGGGCTGAGAGACTTCAGAGAAGTGTGACTGCCCCAAGGTCACCCAGCAGCTGCATGTGGAGGAGCGGAGACGGGAACCTGGTTCCCCAGATTACGAATCTACGGCTCTTAACCACTACACCCCACTGGCTCTCGACAAGACACTCAGGTTACCACCACAACTTCTCCCTCAACCCCTCCTCTTTGTGATGTGTCTATGATGTAGTCTTGGGGGTGTTGCATGTGGGATTCGGAGCTAATAAAAGTTGGGGTCTTCCTTTGTTGGGGGCTTCCATCTTGTTCCACCTGGGGGCAGGTGGGAGTCCTGTGGCAACAGTCTTCAGTCAAGACCTACTGGCTGCTCTTTTGCTCTGCTCTTCCTGGCTGGTCTCCTTGTTTCTTGTCCAAGGGATCCCTCAGATCTTGGAATCCGCTTCTGGCTACAATTGTATCGGCTGCTTTTCTGAGCCTCTTGGCTGTTGTGCAGGGACGGGGCATGTGTCCACGGTCCTTGTCCTGGCCTTAGTCAGAGGCTGGGGTGGGGAGCTGGGATTTGGGGGGGTCGTTTAGCTGCCCGCCTCCATTCCTGGTTTGAACAGCACCAAGACCTAAAACACGGAGGGATCTAAGCTCGTGGGGTGGGGGAGGGGAGGGGAGGATGTTGCAATGCAAACCTTGTAGGAGGGACGGGACCCACTTTGCAGCTGGATCTCCAGGATCAGCCCCTCCCCCGCTCTCCTGTTCCCAGAAGGAAGAGGGGAGGGGGAAAACCTTCCTCTCCCCCCACCCTCAATACTTCCCCTCCCCTCCCGGCACATCTTCCTTTCACCCCGCCCCCACAACCCCAGATCCCGCCCCCAAACATCCCACCCCTTCCTCCTCCTCCTCCAATCCGGCTTCTGCTCCAGGAATGTGGGGGGGGGGGTGAGACCCCTCCCAACCTTCTCCCGGAAGTGGAGCTTCCACTCCGGATTGCTGCTCTGCCCCATAGCTCTAGGGGGGCGCTTTCGGAAAGGGGAGGAAGGAGGCAGGGGACCCCCCCCCGTGGATGTTGCAGGAAAGGAGAATCGGGAGGGAGGACAAAGAGGTAAAGGGGTCCCGGGGGGGGGAGAGGGGAGAAGAGGACCCAGAGACCCCTCCAGCTCCCCCTCGCAGAGACCCCTCCAGCTCCCCCTCGCAGAGACCCCTCCAGCTCCCCTCGGCTTTCCTCGCAGGGGTGGACGTGGGGCGCCCACCCACGAGGACTCACTGGCCCCGTTTCCCCCGCGCAGGCATCCCTGGGGCGCGGAGAGAAGCCAGGATAGAGACCCCCCTGTCCCTCCCCCACTCCCGTTGGGGGGGCCCTAGGAAGGAGAGATGGGGCGAGCAGGGTGAGGGGCCAGTCGCGCCGGAGTGCAGGGGAAACTACGGGAGAGAGGGAGGGGGGAGGAAGTGAACACTGGGGGGTGGGGAGATAGGAAGAACAGTCTTTGGGGACACGTCTCCATCGTGGCTTACCTGGGGAATCTCCGGGGGGGCCGCCTTGGCTTATACCTCCCGCCCAGGAATCGACCCCCCCTTCAGGGCGACCAGAGAGGGATCCCTGGAAAGTGGGGGGTCCAGTCCCCCCTCCCCTTCATTCCTGCAACCTCCATCCTCTTCCCCCACCCCATAAGCCCCTGCCCTGTCCGGACGCAGCGCTTCTGCCCAGTCCAGCCATTGGTCCCCTGGAGAGGAGAGGAAATCCCGAGACAAGGGGGGAGGGGGGAGGCCTTCTCGGAAGCGGCTCTTGGTTTCTGCAATCCCACCCAGGAAGCAGCCAGAAGCCTTTTCCTCTCTCTCAGGCTTCCATCTTTATTGTCTTTTCCACTGAGGGTGAGGATAATGTACACCTGTCATCAGAAACAGGGGTGCAGAGTCCATGGAATGGCGCTCAGGATTGATACAGAAGTTGCACCTCAAAAGCATTTCTGTTCCCCCTATACTTTGTAGGCAATGTCACAGTGACTGACAAGCTGAGATACAACCCATCATCATCCAATGATAGCCATTGCAGGAATCTTCCCAGTCAAAGGACCCATTTTCATGATAGACAGTGCCTGTGGCTGGAGGCTCTACACACCGGGTGTGCCTGTGCAGGCCAAAGACTGCCAGTATTAGCACAGGTGAGGTGTGTGACCCCCCCCTCCAAATTGACAGACTGTGTGTGAATGAGAGTTTGTGGGTGGGATTATAGTTTACGGCAACCCTGTGATTTTCTCCACCCATAACATTTCGTAAGCTAATATTGCAGTAAAAATTCCAAAATAACTACAAAAAATCACAAGATAATAATAATAGTACAGTGGTACCTCAGGTTAAGAACTGAATTCGTTCTGGAGGTCCGTTCTTAACCTGAAACTGTTCTTAACCTGTGGTACCACTTTAGCTAATGGGGCCTCCCACTGCCGCCATGCAATTTCTGTTCTCATCCTGAAGCAAAGTTCTTAACAGAAGGTACTATTTCTGGGTTAGCAGACTCTGTAACCTGAAGCGTCTGTAACCCGAGGTTCCACTGTAGACGTTATAGTATTAGTATCTTCCCCCAGCTGCTCTGGGCAGCTTACAGTACGTATAGTTAAAAGGTATAGGGACCCCTGACCATTAGGTCCAGTCGTGGCCGACTCTGGGGTTACGGAGCTCATCTCGCTTTATTGGCCAAGGGAGCCGGCGTACAGCTTCTGGGTCATGTGGCCAGCATGACTAAGCTGCTTCTGGCGAACCAGAGCAGCACACGGAAAGGCTGTTTACCTTCCCGACAGTACAGTATATATACAAGACAGTAAAACATCAAACATTACAAAACTCCGGATACAGCTGTCTTCTAAATGTCAGATGATTGCCTGTTTCCTTGCCCACAGAAGGGAGGGCATTCCATGGGGCAGGAGGCCCTCTCCCTGGTTCCCTGGAACTTCACTTGTAACAGCAAGGGAACCAGCAGAAGACCCTCGGAGGCGGACCTCCCTGAGCGATGGGGGTGAAGATGCTCCTTCAGGTCCACAGGGCCGAGGCTATTGAGAGTAACCCTGGGACTAGATAACAAGCCTCCAGGTGGACGTGCCCCATCTGCCCTTCACTTTCCTCTTCCGCACGGGCAGAATCTGCCTTCTGGACTGTGGGATTCACGGTTGTTCTCCTCCTCTCCATCCACCAGGGCTTGACTTCAGGTGCAGCAGAATTCCCCAGCCCCCCAAGGATTTGAGACCCATCAGCTTTCCTCACCTGGTTTAGCCGGCCTGTTGAAGCCGTTGCTTGAACCCCTGTTGCATGCTGACAGCTTCTGGAAGCCACAGGTGAGAGCTGAGTGCAGGGTGGGCACCAAGGGTGGAAAATGACCCCAGAAGGTGCAGGACATGACCACCACCAAAGGAACTACTGCTCCCCAACACCCCATGACATCTAGATGCAGGTAGGTAGCCGTGTTGGTCTGACACAGTTGGAATAAAAAATTAAAAAATAGTCCAGTAGCACCTTAGAGACCAACTAAGATTGTCCTGAGTATAAGCTTTCGTGTGCATGCACACTTCTTCAGATACAGTGACACAGATGTCACCAGACCCTTGTATATCGTGGGAGGGTGGGGTGGGTTTTTTCTCAGAAGGGTACTCCTACTACGATCTCCCACTACCCATCACTATATGAAGAAGTGTGCATGTACACGAAAGCTTATACCTAGAACAAACTTAGTTTGTCCCTAAGGTGCTACTGGACTATTTTTGTTAATTTTTTACTTCAACTGTGTCAGACCAAATTGGCTACCTACCATTAAGTACAGTTATCTCCTTGCCTTGAATATCCTGCTTTTCAGTGCCAGATTAGGATAGTACTCTGTCAGAAGACAAGCAGAGGATCAGGCAGCACATCATCATTATAAAGAACCATTGGGTTGGGTATTTCCGCCTGGGATTCGCATGTGCCATCTGCTTTCCTTCTGCTTCTCTTGCTCTCTCCATGCAATGTGAGGCATGTAGACAGAGATCCATCTCCAAGAACAGGAGCGTCCCTTGAACACCCATTCAGCTGACCCCAAGCACCAAGCCTTGTCACTAGTTCTCTGATTGACCCAGACCACAGTTCATGGAAGAGATGTAGACCTGGGTCTCCCAAAATGGTCCATATGGACCTCCTGAGGGCAGTGGGACTGTGCAGGTGATTCATGAAGATCTAGAGGTGGAAACGGGGGCAACCACTTGATTTGAAAGGCATTCTCAGAGGACAACGGTATTACAAGATCATGCTGTGTTATTAAAGATGATTGAGGATTATGAAAGGTTGCTGATGCATTACTATCATTTGACATCATAGCATTTTCATTTCCTAAAAATTGGGAACATGGGGAGGACATGGGAGAATGTAGGAGATGTTGAAATAAGAGAAGGTGCTAATGGCAGTTGATGTGTCCTTTTCCCCCCTGTGTTCTCTTTCTTGAAACCCAAACAGGATTTCCTTTCTGCCCACTCTGAAAAAGTTGATGGAGAAGACAGAATTGCAGGGGACAGGGCACCTTTCGTTTCATTAGGAATAGCCATTAAAATGTGTGAAATGTGGAATATGCTTCACTGAATGAGCACACATAGTTCACATCAACGAACACAAAAAGGACAGAACCCATTTAAAGGTATGGAGTGCGGAAAGAGCTTCTCTTTCAATGCAACACTTAGAACACACCAGCGGACTCACAGAGAGAGAAAACGTTTTAAGTGCAGGGAGTGTGGGAAGAACTTCTGTCATAGTGGACACCTCAATATACATCAACGGACTCACACAGGGGAGAAACCATATAAATGTATGGAGTGTGAAAAGAGCTTTAATGATAGTGGAACCCTAAGAAGACATCAACGGACTCACACCGGGGAGAAACCATTTAAATGTATGGAGTGTGAAAAGAGCTTTAGTGATAGTGGAAAGCTGAGATCACATGAACGGACTCACACAGGGGAGAAACCATATGAATGTATGGAGTGTGGAAAGGTTTTCAGTCAGAATGGAAGCCTTAGATCACATCAACGGACTCATACAGGGGAGAAACCATTTAAATGCATGGAGTGTGGAAAGAGCTTCAATCAGAGTGGAAACCTTAGAAATCATCAACGGACTCATACAGGGGAGAAACCATTTAAATGCATGGAGTGTGGAAAGAGCTTTAGTGATAATGGAAACCTTAGAAATCATGAACGGATTCACACAGGGGAAAAACCATATAAATGTATTGATTGTGGAAAGAGATTTAGTGATAATGGAAACCTTAAAAAACATCAACGGTCTCACACAGGGATGAAACCATTTAAATGCATGGAGTGTGGAAAGGGCTTCAGTCAGAGTGGAGACCTTAGAAATCATCAACGGACTCACACAGGGGAGAAACCATATAAATGTATGGAGTGTGGGAAGAGCTTTAGGGTTAATGGACACCTTAGACAACATCAACAGACTCACACAGGATAAACCATTTAAAGGTATGGACTGTAGAAAGAGCTTCAGTCAGAGAGAAACCCTTGATTTCTGTCAACAAACTCACATAAAATATAAACCATATAAATATCAGGAAAGTAGATAGAGGTTCACTCCTAGTGGAAGTTCAAAATCAACAGACTCACAGACAGGAAGAACTTGTAAGAGTTGAAACCCTTCAAACCATCACGAACTCAAAGAGGAGAAGCAGTTTAAATAAAAAGATTGCAAAAAGTGCTTTATTTATAATGGAGTATTTAAGGAACATCTAGGGACTCTCACATGGGAGAACCCGTTTAGATGTATGGAGTGTGGGACGTCTTCCTCTCAGAGTCCACTATTTTCTTCACAGAAATGAAGTAAGCAGGAAAGCATTCCTAAAAGCATGAGGTATATGTGAAGTTCTGGTGTTTATATGTAAAACTGTATAATAATGAAATAATGAAGGCAACATCTCACAATGGTGAGTATAATTTTAGATGAAAGTACCTTTGGTTTTTGCACCAAACTCTGTCACACACACACACACACCCCACCGCATGATCTCCAAGCAATGCTTCTTCACCAGAACTTCATCGCTGCCTCCTGCCCTGCGCGTTCTGAAGAAAACTTGAAATACTGAAATTGAATGGGAGATTTCCCCCCAAGCCTAATTTCAAGAGGGGGAAGGAGGGGCTGCAGGTACCAGGAAAGTCTCCTGGGGGGCCCACCTTCATTCATGAACCCCATGGGGCAACCCCAGAGCTCCTGCTCATTCTGGGGCTTGGGGAAGATGGTCCCAGAAGTTTTGCTTCAATCATGCTACTCGGGAGTTTTCCTACCAGAGGACCACAGTGCTGTGGCTGCTGCTGTTGTCATGGACTGGCTGGTGAGGGGGGGGAGGCACCAGCTGGGGACTCACAAGGGAAGAAGGCACAGATCCTGGGGACTGGTGGTGGGATGAGCAGAAAGAGGGAGAAAAGGGAGCAGAATGGGAGGGGAGATGTTGCAAGCTGAGGAGTAAACAGGGTTTGGTGAGCAGGAAGAGGCTGGGGCAGAGAGCAGTTCAGGCTCAGAGGGAGGAGAGGAGGGGGCCAGGAGACCCAGAGGAGGCCGGATGCTGAAGCATCCAGTGAGACTCCCCCTCCTGCTGCGACCAGCCCATGGATTCATGTAATGAATCCTCCCCAGAATGATTTTCTTATTCCAAACAATGCCCATTTTAGGAGGAATGAATTGTTTTAAGGCGTGGAAAAGGGAAATATCTAGATTGATATGGAGTGGAAAGAAAGCGATAATTAAACACCCGTTATTAACAGATAAAAAGGAGAGAGGAGGTTTTGCATTGCCAGATTTGCAATTCTATCATGCGGAGGCAGGATTGGTTTGGATAAAAGACCTTAAATTTTTTATTACAGGATTCATCCAGCCCAGCCTTTCGCATGATGAATTCTGCATTTATGTTAAATAAGCAGGGAGACAATACAGTGGTGCCTCGCAAGACGAAAAGAATCCGTTCCGCGAGTCTCTTTGTCTTGCGGTTTTTTCGTCTTGCAAAGCAAGCCCATTAGCGGCTTAGCGGGCTTAGCGGATCAGCTGATTAGCGGCTTAGCGGATCAGCTGTTAAGCAGCTTAGCGGCTTGGGAAAAAGGGGGGAAAGGGAAAAAATCCTGCAGGAACTCGCAAGACATTTTCGTCTTGCGAAGCAAGCCCATAAGAAATTCGTTTTGCGAAGCACCTCCAAAACGGAAAACCCTTTCGTCTAGCGGGTTTTCCGTCTTGCGAGGCATTCGTCTTGCGGGGCACCACTGTATACCGTTCTCCTTCTTGTTCCACATAGAGATTTCTCAGGAGACAGATGAGGTGATCAGGCACTCCCATTTCTTTAAGAACTCGCCATAGTTTGCTGTGGTCAACACAGTCAAAGGATGTTCTGTAGTCTCCATAATCCAGCGCATGTTTGCAATTTGGTCTCTGGTACCTCTGTCCCTTCGAAATCCAGCTTGCACTTCTGGGTGTTCTTGGTCCACATACTGCTTAAGCCTGCCTTGTAGCATCTTAAGCATAACCTTGATAGCCTGTGAAATGAGCGCAATTATGCGGTAATTGGCGCATTCTTTGGCACTGCCCTTCTTTGGGATTGGGATTCATGTGTGGCAGGAAACCCTCCCCTCAATCATTCAGTTTGTACAAACATGACACTCACACACGACATACGCAATGCTTCTGTTATAAATTCATACAAAATCAGCCGTACATCGGATCTGCACCGTTCAACTTTTATTTTACACCATGAGGGAAGGACTATCAAAGGGGGGAGACTTGACACAAGGCAGCCAACACGTCCCAGCGAGCCCTACCCAGTTGGCATTCCAACCTTGATGGTCCTGGACAGAAGATCATTCCACTCACAAAGGACCTGCATATGGAAGTGGATTCAGTATGGACTGAAACACAGGACAGTGACCAGCCCTTCCCTCTGGGGGGGCAGGAAACAGTGAACTCCCCTTTGTCCTCAGGAATGTAATCATGGGGAGGGGAAAGAAGGAACCGGACAGGTGAGAAGACCCTCAGGTTACCACCACAACTCCTCCTCCTTCAGAGAAGTCACACTTCTCTGAGGTCTCTCAGCCTCACTCACCTCACAGAATGTTTGTGGGGGAGAGGAAGGGAAAGGAGAATGTGAGCCGCTTTGAGACTCCTTTCGGTAGTGATAAAGTGGGATATCAAATCCAAACTCTTCTTCTTCTCCCCGAACCCCTCCTCTGTGTGATGTGTCAATGATGTAGTCATGATGTAGTCTTGGGGGTGTAGCATGGGGGATTAGCAGCTAATAAAAGTTGGGGTCTTCTTTTGTTGGGGGCTTCCATCTTGTTCCACCTGGGGGCAGGTGGGAGTCCTGTGGAGACAGTCTTCAATCGAGACCTACTGGCTGCTCTTTTGCTCTCCTCTTCCTGGCTGGTCTTGTTTCTTGTCCAAGGGATCCCTCAGATTTTGGAATCCGCTTGGCTGTTGTGCATGGACGGTGCCTGTGTCCACGGTCCTTGTCCTGGCCTATGTCAGAGCTAGGATTTGGGGGAGTCGTTTAGCTGCCCCCCTCCATTCCTGGTTTGAACAGCACCAATACCTAAAACACGGAGGGATCTAAGCTCGTGGGGTGGGGTGAGGGAGGATGTTGCACTTGTGGGGGGGGACCCCTCTTTGCAGCTGGATCTCCGGGATCAGCCCCTCCCCCGCTCTCCTCATCCAGAAGGAAGAGGGGAGGGGGAAAACCTCTCCCCCTCAATCCTTTCCCTCCCCTCCCGGCACATCCTCCTCTCACCCCGCCCCCACCATCCCAAATCCCTCCCCCAATACATTGTTCCTCCTCCTCCTCCAATCCTGCTTCTGTTCCAGGAATGGGGAGTGTGAGCGCCCCCCCCCAAACTGCCTGCTTCTCTCGGAAGTGGAGCTTCCACTCCGGATTCCTGCTCTACACCCTAGCTCTAGGCCGCGCGCTTTCGGAAAGGGAGGAGGGGCGGCAGGTAAATCGGGAGCGAGGACAAAGAGGTAAAGGGGTCCGGGGGGGGGAGGCTAGAGAAAAGGACTCAGAGACTCCGCCAGCTCCCCCAAGCGCCTTCCGTGGGGCCTGGATCCCGTGCTGCGAAGGGGCGGACATGGGGCGCCCACCCACGGAGGACTCCCTGGGCCCGTTTCCCCCGCGCAGGCATCCCTGGGGGGCGGAGAGAAGCGGGTCAGGAAAGGGTTAAGGGGTGCGGGAGGCGCCTGGATAGAGACCCCCTGTCCCTCCCCGGCTCGTCTTGGGGGGCCCCTCCGGATGGAGAGATGGGTCGCGCATGCCGAAGGGTGAGCCAAGGGGGCGTCTGGATGCAGGGGAGACTCCGGGAGAAAGCGAGGGGGTCATGGAAGTGGGGGGAGAAGGGAGGAGGCATCCCCGGGTCAGGGAAGCGCAGCAATTGGGGGGGGGGAGAGAGGAAGACCAGTCTTTGGGGAGACATCTCCATCCTGACGCCCACGATGAATCTCCGGAGGGGCCGCCTTGGCTTCTCTCTCCCGCCCAGGAATCCACTCTCCTTCAAGGCGAGCAGAGAGGGATCCCTGGAAAGTGGGGTCTAGTCCCCCCACCCCTCCCTTCCTGCAATCTCCACCCTCTTCCCTCCCCATAATCCCCTGCCCTGTCCAGACGCAGCGATTCTGCCCAGTCCAACCACTGGTCCCCTGGAGAGGAGAGGAAATCCCGAGGGGGAGGGGAGAGGCCTTCTCAGAAGCGGCTCTTTGTTTCCGCAATCCCACCCAGGAAGCAGCCAGAAACCTTTTCCTCTCTCTCAGGCTTCCATCTTTATTATCTTTTCCACTGTGTATGAGGATAATGTACACCTGTCATCAGAAACAGGGGTGCAGAGTCCATGGAATGGCTCTCAGGATTGATATAGAAGCTGCACCTCAAAAGCATTTCTGTTCCTCTTATTCTTTGTAGGCAGTGTCAAGAGTGACTGACAAGCTGAGATACAACCCATCATCCTCCGATGACAATGACTGCATGAATCTTCCTAGTCAAAGGACCCATTTTCTTGATAGACAGTGCCTGTGGCTGGAGGCTCTACACACCGGGTGTGCCTGTGCAGGCCAAAGACTGCCAGTATTAGCACAGGTGAGGTGTGTGACCTTCCCAAATTTACAGACTGTATGTAAATGAGAAGTCGTGGGTAGGATTATATTTACACAGCAACCCTGTGATTGTCTCCACCGATAACATTTCATGAGCTGATATTGCAGTACAAATTCCAAAATAACTACAAAAACCCCACAAGATAATAATAATAATTTTACTATTTATACCCGCCCATCTGGTTGGGTTTCCCCAGCCACTCTGGCCAGCTTCCAGTACACATAAAAGACAGTAAAACATCACACATTAAAAACCTCCAGATACAGGTCTACCTTCTGCTATCTTCTAAATGTCAGATAGTTGTTCATTTCCTTGACCTCTGTAGGGAGGGCGTTCCACAGGGTGGGCACCACCACCGAGAAGGCCCTCTGCCTGGTTCCCTGTAACCTCACTTATCACAGAGAGGGGCCAGCAGAAGACCCTCAGAGGAGGACCTCAGAGTTCAGAGTGAAGGATGTGGAGGGGGGGACGCTCCTTCAGGTCTACAGGGCCAAGGCGGTTGAAGGCTTTAGGTCGCAGATCTTGTTCTTCCATAATGATCTCCAAGTCCGACATATAGTTAGCAGAGTAGAAAAAAACACTCAGAGGCAGCAAAAAAATCCATTCAGCGGATAAATTTAGTATTGAAGGCAAAGAATCATAACAATCCAATAACTGAATTTACAGTAAAACCCTAACACAGCATAGCAAAACAGCACTCAAGTAAGAAAGACACAAGAAGAGTAGAGAATAGCAGAATAGGAAGTGGGACCAGACTTAGACCTGGGTCTCCCAAAATGGTCCACTTGGACCTCTTGAGGCCATTGGGACTGTGAAGGTGACTCATGAAGATCTAGAGGTTGAAACAGGGCTGGATGGAGGATTATAATAATATAATCATAATAATTTATTATTTATACCCCGCCCATCTGGCTGAGTTTCCCCAGCCCTCTGGGCAGCTCCCAATCAAATGTTTAAAACAGTACAGCGTTAATATTAAAAACTTCCCTGAACAGGGCTGCCTTCAGATGTCTTTTAAAGATAAGATAGCTGCTTATTTCCTTCAAATCTGAAGGGAGGGTGTTCCACAGGGTGGGCGCCACTACCGAGAAGGCCCTCTGTCTGGTTCCCTGTAACCTCATTTCTCACAATGAGGGAACCGCCAGAAGCCCCTCGGCGCTGGACCTCAGTGTCTTTATGATGCAGAGGATGGGGAATGTCCAAAGGAATGATGGGACCAGAGAAAGAGAGGGCCTTTTCATGGACAGAGAGCAGCTGCCTTTCCTGTGAGGAAACAATTGATTTGAAAAGGCTGTATTCAAGATCATGCTGTGCTATTAACGATGATTGAGGATTATGAAAGATTGCTGCTGCATACTATCATTTGATGACATTGCTTTTTCATTTGCTGTGCGTAAGAGGGGTGGGGTGGGTGTTTAGTTGGGTGCGGGAATTTGTTTAATTTTAATTCAATTATGGTGTGTTTGTAACATTCTCTTTTTTTGGTTTGTTTTATTGTTTTGTTAGTTTGTTTGTTGTATAGGTTTTAATTTGATTTTAAGGGGAGGGGTAAGGGCTGCCT